TAAACAGTGAGGTGGCAAAATTTGCAGATGATCCAAAATTACTCAAGATAGTTAAGTCCCAGGCAGACTGTGAAGAGTTACAAAAGGATCTCTCAAAACTGGGTGACTGGACAACAAAATGGCAGATGAAATTCAGTGTTGATAAATGCAAAGTAATACACATTGGAAAACATAATCCCAACTATACATATAAAATGATGGGGTCTAAATTAGCTGTTACCAATCAAGAAAGATCTTGCAGTCATTGTGGATAGTTCTCTGAAAACATCTACTCAATATGCAGTGGCAGTCAAAAAAGCGAATGTTGGGAATCATTAAGAAAGGGATAGATAATAAGACAGAAAATATCATATTGCCTCTATATAAATCCATGGTACACCCACATCTTGAATACTTTGTGCAGATGTGGTCACCCTGTCTCAAAAAAGATATATTGGAATTGGAAAAGGTTCAGAAAAGAGCAACAAAAATGATTAAGCGTCTGGAACAGTTTTCAGCTGAGGAGAGATTAATAAGACTGGGACTTTTCACCTTGGAAAAGAGATGACTAAGGGGGGTATGATAGAGAGATATAAAATCATGACTGCTGTGGAGAAAGTAAATAAGGAAGTGTTAATTACTCCTTCTCATAACACAAGAACTAGGGGTCACCAAACGACTAACAGGCAGCAGGTTTAAAACAAGTAAAGAAGAATTTTTGCACACAACGCAGTCAGTCAGTGGAACTCTTTGCCAGAGGATGTTGTGATGGATAAGACTATAATGGGGTTCAAAAAAGAACTAGATAAGTTCATGGAGGATAGATCCATCAATGGCTATTAGCCAGGAAAGGCAGGGATGGTGTCCCTAGCTTCTGTTTGCCAGAAGCAGGGAATGGGTGACAGGGGATGGATCTCTTGATGATTACCTGTTCTGTTCATTCCCTCTGGGGCACCTGGCCACTGTCAGAAGACAGGATACTGGGCTAGATGGACCTTTGGTCTGACCCAGTATGGTCACACTTTTATTCTTATCTTTCCAGTGACCTGTCCCAAGTACCATCATATATGCAAAACCACGTGATTTTTCAGACCCAGGAGGGTTGGATAATAGGGTGACCAGATGTCACGATTTTATAGGGACAGTCCCAGTATTTGGTTTTTTTCTTATATAAGCACCTATTCTCTCCCCCCCCTCCTCCCCAGTCCCATTTTTCACACTTTCTATCTGGTCACCCTACTGGATAAGAATATGGTATTTCTAAACATAGTGAGGTTCGCTTAGCTCTAGCAGTGACACACAGTGAATGCAAAAAGAACAGGAGTACTTGTGGCACCTGAATGGTAACACTCCCAGGTCATCAGCAGGGATGTACTGCCAGTGTTTTCAACAACAGCTCCCCGTCCCAAAAAAGAGATCTTTACCATTTAGCTTGTGGCAGCAGCAACAGCACATGCAGTGGGAACCTATTCATTTCTACCCCTCCATCACTCCCTAAGACACAAAACACTCTCTCAGTAACCACAAACTTCTATTAAGCTACACTGGAAATATTTCTTTTTTCTGAAAAGAGAAAAAAAAACCATACAGCATTTGACAGTAGAATACAATGTTCTTGTATTTTGTATTTTGAAAGGTAGGGGGGAGTAGTGCCTGGGCATATCCTTCCCTAGGAAACTACCTGCCATTTGGTGCAATCTGGTCTATCAAAACACAAAATATTTGCTCCTTGGAGGTATTTTTATGATCCCCAAGGATAAGTCACATCTCTGGAATTGAGGATTTAGCAATGTCCAGATGCACAAGCAGGAATGATCCAGCAGAGACTGGGAAATCATCCCAACCTTCACTTCCATTTGAAGGCAGAATTTTTACATGTTTGATCCTGGGAGCCCTCAAGAGCCCCCTCCAGAATGCCTTGTGATTATGTAATGATTTCTTTTTGCCCACTCTTCAGGTCCCAGAATCACCACTGCACCTCCACTAGTCTGCCAGCCTACAATTGCAGGGACACCCTGCCAGTTACACGCTACCTTTCACGAACACAAGTCAGATCTGCTGCTACTTGACATACTCGTTGTATAGCATTAAACCATTCCACTGATACACACAGAGAAACTGGAATCACTGAAACATCCAGAAGTTGCTCTGTGCATAGATTTTTTTTAAGGGCAAAATTGGGGAGGTTTTTAAATCAGAGGCTGCATTACATATTAAAAAGTAACTTTTAAACAGTGCATCATATGTCTGTGCACCAAGCAGAGAGGGGGAGAGAACATCTACATGGTATATTCCTGTCTTTTTCTCTCTTTTGCTTTCTCTCTCACCCTCCTGTTTCACTCTCTCTCTCTCTTCAAACTCCCCCTGCAGTAGGCTGCAGAATGGGACACTCTTGTTCCAAAGCCAGCCGGCAGCTGTCACACAGCAGAGGCAGCAAGCAGCCTGTGCAAAGAGTGAGCCTACTCTGTCATTTAGGATGACTCACTGGGATCTGGCATTAATTTCTCTTTTTCTGGTAGTGGACGGAGAACAACCAAAAAGCTACACTGGATCTGATCAAGGTAAGAGATTAACACATCTTTTATGCTATATCATTGAGTTTGAAGAGGTGCCAAGCTCTGTACAGAGACTGGCACTGGTGCTAATTCAGTGGGTGTTTTAACACCTGGCAGTACATGCCACCAGTGTGCCTTCCTGGTGTTAACCCTGAGTATGCCGTTCTAAGCTGCATCCACTGAATAGAAAGCCGGTGAAAATACAGCATTTCAAGTGCATTTTCCTCCTTAATGCAACTTTTATGAGAACACCACCACCTGCCCCGGCGCATATGAGAAGCATCTCAATGTTTCTAAATGATCAGGCATGCTTTTGTACTCGACTTCTGGGAATACAGTGTGTCAGGATTCTGTCATGGACTACTTGCAGATTCATCCACACAACATTTGTTTCATCACTTTAATTAGTTGAAATTCCATAGTCTAAGCATCTCCCTGGCACGTTTTCCCCAGCAAGTGTTCTGAATGCAAATAGATTATATTCAATTTTTAGTCATTTTTAAAACTCCAGTACGTACTAAAACCATCAGAACAAGTCTGCTGAGCACTGTACTGTGTGTGTGTGTGCGTGCATACACACAAATTTTGTCAATACATTTCTTCGCTGTTGAGCCAAAAAATGCAGCATGCAGGAGAGTTTTACTTATTTGTTTTTGGCTAGGACAAAATCCCCCCCTACCCCTAGATTCTTAAATTCCTGGAGAAATTCCCTTCTTCCATTTTCTGAGGAGCCATGTAATTTTAAGCAGAGTGATCTAAGTAGTCATCCTTGGCTGCTCATACTTTTTAATTTTTGCTCTCTAGTTGAAGCTTTCATCTAGCCTGTGTAGCCTCATCCCCAGCAAGCCAAATGCCCCATTTACCAAGTGGGTTACTTCTAAAAGGTGGCACCATTAAATTAATCCTGCATTATGTTTCTTTCGTACCATAAACAGAACAGCAGACTAGCTGGTATCAACGCAGAATCCCATAAGCTTACCCTTGGATCCCTTATGGGTTAACTGTACTGAAGACAGTTCTTTTGCACTATTTCTCTTACCTGTTCTGTGGAATGTCTTCTTGCAATTGTGACTGGATGTACCCTTATTTATCACCCATTAAAAGGTGTTCTATACAGCATTGCCTCATATATTCTGTTTAGTCAGACCTGCTAGAATTTGACTTTTATCTGAGTTTTCTTTTTTTTAAAGCATTTAAAACAAGAGAACTTCCCTGCAATTGTGAATATGAAAGAGTCTCTATACAGACATGACCATGGGTCCTATATTGGTCACGTCTAAGATGCTGACAAAACAGCAATTAATGCTGAATACCATACAGCATTTGGGTAGCCAGTAAGACCAATGGATTCTTGACAGTGTATATATTTTTGGAATCAACTCTTGCTTTCTCCACTAGGGAAAAGATGTTAATAGACCTTTCTGTACCTACTGTCATGCCACAAACATTTACACTAGTACAAAGCAATCTCAAAATTAATTGTGATTTAAATGTCCTTTTGTACCGATCTTCAAGAACAGGCAAAACAAAAAATGTTTGATATGTCAGCAGGGATTATACCATACCTTCTATTGGAGTCAGATTTTCTTGTAAAATGTGTATCAAAACTATATTTTAAGGTAATTCTTTATCACTTGGGGGGCTTACAGGCAGTTAAATTAATAAATGCCATGGATTTTCACAGCCATTTCACCTTTCTTAATTCAATGGGGCCACAGAAGAAAACAATCCAAGATACAGTTTGGTTGATAGATCACCATGATACTGCTTTTAAAGACTTAATACTCATTCTGTTTAATTATAAATTAGTAGTTATTTATTTCACACAAACTCAGTCACTTGCTACAGTGGTATATGTCAGGGTCTCTGGGGACTGAAGAGCTATATTTGACCATGTCTAGCCAATGTCTAGAATAAAAATTATCTTATTTGTAATTCCCCCTCCTCCCCCAAGAGACATCAGTATATGATCAATTTTTAATCAGCATGGCTCCTTTTGGCTGGGAATTTAGTCTATTTAAAGGTAGACAATCCAGTGAGATAACACTTTTTTGTAACTTGGCAACAAGAGGGGGGGAAAAATCAAGTTACATTAATCATGCATACAAACCTTGTATTGTGCTGTCCCATCCCTAGAGAATTAAACCCTTCACAGAGCTGATGTTCTAGACTTGTGAACCAGTAAGTTTAATATAATTAACTAATCCAACCAGTTGTTCTAATTATAAGAGAGACTGCAGGAAGCCAATGCAGACTCAGTACATGTGCAAGAAGCTGCCTCTAGAACAGAACAGAGTGCTTTTTTTGAAGCTTCATTCTTGCAACATGCATTATTCAAAAAAATATGCCATTGGTGTAACCCAAATTCTGAGACTTGTAAGCTAATGGGAGGTTGTCTGCTTTTGGTCTCAGAGACTTCATATCTGGCATTGTTCCATTTTTAGGGAAGAATGAGTGTTCACTTTAAATCCCATTTTGCTCCATTCAGTTTATTGGTTATTCGGGTATATTATTTGCTGGTGGGAGCTGGAAGAAAGAAACAAAGAGAAAGAAAGGTTAAAATAATTTGCATTGCTCTGTAAAGAAATGCTATCACCATGGCATCCTGTGCCTCTATGGTATTTCTGGAGTGCCCATCACCTTTGTATATAAGTATTAGGGATAGCCCAAAACTGCCATGTTTAGATTTCAGTGGAAACTTCCCTTAATTGAGAGTTTGTTCAGATCTGGAGTTCTGGTTCAGCCAGGTGCAAAAGACAGACCATAGAAAATCCGAAGTTTGGAGCGCTTGGAGCCAGAGTTTTGCTGTGGAACCATTTCTGATAAGAGCTAGCAAAATACTTTAACTGCCCAAGAGCCACAAAACTAAAGCAGAATGAAATTTTCATAATGAAACTCAAAGCCTGATTAAATCTCACCTAGTTTGTAATTTAGTTACCAATGTGAACCCAGGCCTAGTTTTCCAGAAGTTTTGCCATAGCTTATAACCTGTGGGGAGGTAGGTTTATAGTAGAGATCTATTTCAGAAATTGTGGACATTTCATAAAGTTGCAACCAAACCCTAATAAAATCAACTACTTTGCTCAAATCTGCACTTAGAGTTTTGGGTTTATGTGAATCCAAAACATCAATATCAGGGGCTACAAATAAACAAAACCCCTCATTTTGCACATCTGTGTTCCAGTGCTCTGGACAGGGCTGGCTCTAGGGTTTTGGCCACCCCAAGCAGCCCAAAAAAAAAAAAAAAGGTCTCGATCGCGATCTGCAGCGGCAATTCGGCGGAAGGTCCTTTGCTCCGAGCGGGAGTGAGGGACCGTCCACCGAATTGCCCCCGAATAGCTGGACCTGCCGACCCTCTCCGGAGTGGCCACCCCAAGCACCTGCTTGCCAAGCTGGTGCCTGGAGCCGGCCCTGGCTCTGGAGAGATCAGGCCTAGGTGACATCTGTAAGGAAGATTTCTATTTCATTGCAGCCAGGGCCGGCTCCAGGCACCAGCTTACGAAGCAGGTGCTTGGGGCGGCACGTCCAGCTGTTCGGCGGCAATTCGATGGACGGTCCCTCACTCCTGCTCGGAGCAAGGATGTCCCGCTGAATTGCCGCCGCAGATCGCGATCGCGGCTTTTTTTTTTTTTTGGTTTGGCTGCTTGGGGCGGCCAAAACCCAGGAGCCGGCCCTGATTGCAGCTACTCTCCTGTACTTGGGCTTGCCTAGAATAAGGGCCAAATTCCATTCCTCCATTCCTCTGCATCACATATTGTATTCCTCCTTTCACATTTTATTTAATCAAATTACGAACAAGTCACAGATTCAAGTGACTACTTATGGAAATGAAACTCAAGTTGCATTAGGAAGTGCTATGCATTGAACATGGTCAATAACATTGCCATCTTATTGTATGGTACTTCATACAAGAACTGAATGATACCAACAAGTAGAATTCAGTGCACTTGTGCCATCGTAAGGCATTTGTAACCCCAAGACAAGTTGTACATAGACATTACTTTTAGAAGAAGAAAAAGAAAAAGGATGTCGCATCTTGCCTATTTTACCTTCCTGTGTGATTCTTCCAGGGCAGAACTTAGTTCCAGAATGTCCTTAAACAATATCTAGCCCCCACCAAAGAAAATCTAATCTCAGGCTAGGCCGTTTCATAGAAATGAAAGTCATGTATCATCATCATCATTATGCAAAACATCCATACAATACTTATGATTAAACGTTAAAAATAGGTTGCTTTGATGAGAACAATCTCTTTTCAGATGGGTACAGTTTGACTAAAACAATCTTTAGGTTCAAATGCATTTGAAATTAGGGATGAGCGATCCAGTTTGGATTAAGTAAGAGCTGACTTGCATCTTCACCCCAAACTGAACAGCTACATTTTATTAAAGCTGACAGGTTTTATAAAAAGTTGGTTTAAGCTTAGGTGCTCAGCATTTTCAAAATCATGCTCAAGAGATGTACACAATTTTGCTTAAGAAAACCCGCTCTCGCAGGTTCTTCAGTCCATTTCTTTAGAGTCAAGCACATTTGGGTAAGCGTCAAGTAAACTTTCATAATTTCAGGATTTATCTTAACCTCTGAACATTTAATTCATCCTTCACTACTTCATCCCATTTCTTCTGATAGCGTTTTAATTCTCCATGAGGCAGCAGTACATAAAATGAAGTTACATATAATGGGGATTAGGGCAGTCAAGCAATAAAAAAAAATTAATCGCAATTTATCATGTGATTAAAAAAATAAATCTGGATTAATCGCATTGTTAAACAATAATAGAATACCATTGATTTAAATATTTTTGGATGTTTTCTACATCATCAAATATATTGATTTCAATTACAACACAGAATACAACGTGTATAATGCTCACTTTATATTTATTTTTGATACAAATATTTGAACTGTAAAAACAAAAGAAATAGCATTTTCAATTCACCTCATACAAGTACTGTAGTATCATCTCTATCATAAAAGTTGAATTTACAAATGTAGAATTATGTACAAAAAATAACTGCATTGAAAAATAAAACAATGTAAAACTTTAGAACCTACAAGTCCACTCAGTCTTACTTCAGCCAATCTCTCAGACAACCAAATTTGGTTACAATTTACAGGAGATAATGCTGCCTGCTTCTTGTTTACAATGTCACCTGAAAGTAAGAACAGGCATTCACATGTAAATATCTTACGATGCTGGGCACTTTTGTAGCTGGTGTCACAAAATATTTACATGCCAGAAGCGCTAAATATTCATATATCCTTTCAACTTCAACCACCATTCCATAGGACATGCATCCATGCTTATGATGGGTTCTGCTTGATAAAAATCCAAAGCAGAGTGGACCAATGCATGTTCATTTTCATTATCTGAGTCAGGTGCCACCAGCAGAAGGTTGATTTTATTTTTTAGTGATTCCGGTTCTATAGTTTCTGCATCTGAGTGTTGCCCTTTTAAGACTTCTGAAAGCATGCTCCACACTTCGTCCCTCTCAGATTTTGGAAGGCATTTCTGATTCATAAACCTTGGGTCGAGTGCTGTAGCTATTTTTAGATATCTCACTTGCGTTTTGTCAAATCTGCTGCGAAAATGTTCTTAAAACGAACATGTATCGGGTCATCATCTGAAACTGCTATAACATGAAATATATGGCAGAATGCGGGTAAAACAGAGCTGAAGACATATAGTTCTCCCCTATGGAGTTCAGTCACAAATTTAATTAACGCATTCTTTTTAATGAGCATCATCAGCATGGAAGCATTTCCTCTGGAATTGTGGCTGAAGCATGAAGAGACATACGAATGTTTAGCATATCTGGCACGTAAATACCTTGCAACACCAGCTACAAAAGTGCCATGCGAACGCCTGTTCTCACTTTCAGGTGACATTGTAAATAAGCAGCAGGAAGCAGCATCTCCTGTAAATGTAAACAAACTTGTTTGTCTTAGTGATTGGCTGAATAAGAAGTAGGACTGAGTGGACTTGTAGGCTCTGCAGTTTTACATTGTTTTGTTTTTGAGAGCTGTTATGTAACAAAAAAACCTGCATTTATAAGTTACACTTTAAGAGATTGCACTATAGTACTTGTATGAGGTTAATTGAAAAATACAATTTCTTTTGTTTATCATTTTTACAGTGCAAATATTTGTAATAAAAATCATATAAAGTGAGCACTGTACACTTCGTATTCTGTGTTGTAATAGAAACTAATATATTTGAAAATGTTGAAAAACACCCAAAATATTTAATAAATTTCAATTGGTATTCTATTGTTTAACAGGGCAATTAATACCAATAAATTTTTTAAATTGCGATAAAAATTTTTTGAGTTAATCGCGTGAGTTAACTGCAATTAATTGACCACCCTAATCGTGATACTTACAAGGGGATTCACTCCTTTCTAGCTGCCATTTGTATTTAACTCTCTTACTATGAGGATCCTTGATGTATAAAAAGATGGCATATGTATGACCATTCCTGATCCCCTACCGTGCATGGCTGTAAGCCAAACAGGTGTTAAACTAAATGCTGTATTTTAAATAAGAATACTACAGTATATCCCTCCTTGTTTTTTCAACTGTGATATAACCTCGATAATTCTGCTTGACAGACTCCTTTAAGCAAATTATATATACATAACAAACATTGAGAGAGATGGTTAAGTTGCAAAGACAAAAACTCAAAAGTTAGGAAATGTCAGAATTAAAGTTACTTGTGCAATGAATGGTACATAAAGTATTTAAGCTGTTAAAATAATTAAAGCAAAAAGCTTGTGTGCCTCTCAGTCCCACTTTCTTGACTTGCCATTTGAGCTATTAGAAAAATGCCAATTATTTTTCATGGGAAATTAAAAAAAAAATGTTTGTTTGTTTAGTGGAAATTTCCAAAGGAAACAAGTTAAAAAAAACAACCTGAAACTTTCATTTTTTAAAGAACAAATTTGGTTAACACACAAAAAAGAAACAAAGTTGTTAGGGCTTGTTTAACTGAAAACCAAAACACTTCTTTTACTGCAAACTTTTCAGTTTTTCATTGAAAAATAAATAAATCAAACAATGTTTTAGAATTGAACTTTTTTCTGCAAAATTTGTTTATGATAAATAGCGACTTTTTGATTGAAATTACTCTGCCAAAAATTAAATAAAACATAAAAATTGACCAGCTCTAATTAACAGTTTATCATTTAAATACACTCTGCTTTTGTCTAGAGCTGTACAAATGGAATAATTCCATTCATGTCATTTTCAGAGTGGAAACACTAAAGAAAATGTAAAAAACCATCCAAACCAACATGCTTGCTCATTTGAATCCATTTTATCCTTTGGGACTCCACGGATCCCTTCTTAGGAGAAAGGCAGCTCTACTAGCAGGGCCGGCTCCAGGCACCAGCTTGACAAGCAGGTGCTTGGGACGGCCATTCTGGAGAGGGGCGGCACGTCCAGCTATTCGGCGGCAATTTGGCGGACAGTCCCTCATTCCCGCTTGGAGCGAAGGACCTCCCGCCGAATTGCCGCCGCAGATCGCGATCACGACTTTTTTTTTTGGCGCTGCTTGGGGCGGCAAAAACCCTGGAGCCAGCCCTGTCTACTAGCCCTCCCAATTCAGATAACACTTCTTCTGACAATGAATAGGACTCCCAATTTACACAAGTTAACTTGTAGCCATGTCCCTTTTCATCCAGATTCCTATCTTGGGCAGACACAGGAAGGGTAATGAGACTGCAGAATTTGGGTTAAAGGGGAAAAAATCATTAGCACACTGATATTACAACCCTGAAGTTGCATAATGTTCCTTAGTGGCATCACTTAAATGAACAGGAGGAGGCAACAAGAACCCTTACATGTGGGATGCCAGGAAGGATAAGTAATAGCTCCCCACAGTACTACTCCGAGATTTGTGGGAGACTAAGGAGCAAACTAACCAAATCCTTGCCACATCCTACCTTCATTCTCTGCTATGGGTCAGGCACCCTGACCAGACTGCATTTCCCATGATGCAACACAACAAAGGACATCCATGATGCACCACCTTCCCCCTCCAAAAGGGGAAATGAACTGTGGTGCATCATGGAAGATGTAATCCAACCCTGGAGCCTGGCCTTCAGAGAAATATGGAAGCATAAAACACCATGGCAACATTTCCAAATCAAGGTGTTTTTTCCCCACCAAGAAGCTCTAATTGAAAGCTGGTCTAAAACAACCAGCAAGGACATTTTAATCCTTGCCAGTAGCAAAAATTCCTCAACGGCTGCAGATGGGACACTAGATGGGGCGGGCTCTGAGTTACTACAGAAAATTCTTTCCTACGTCTCTGCCTGATGGGTCTTACCCACATATTCGGGGTCTAACTGATTGCCATGTTTGGGGTCGAGAAGGAATTTTCCCCTGGGGTCAGCTTGGCAGAGGCCCTGGGGGCACGGGGCACTTCCAGGTTTAAACTAGTGTAGATGGTGAATTCTCTGTAACTGGAAGTCTTTAAACCATGATTTGAGGACTTCCACAACTCAACCAGAGGTTAGGGGTCTATTTCAGGAGTGGGTGAGGTTCTGTGGCTTGCAATATGCAGGAGGTCAGACTAGATGATCATGACGGTGCCTTCTAACCTTAAAGTCTAGGAGTCAACCAGCAATATCAGCTGTGTCTCTGTTCCCTATCGAAGCCTTAAACCAGACAAACAAGGATAGTGATCACTGCTACACACAGTACACCCCATGTAGTTTCCAATCTCCACGCTTTATGCATTGCTATTTTTGCTTTTTTAATAGTCCAAGGTAGCATGTGCCTTCTAGAACCTCAACTGGATACAGGGCTGAGGGTGTTTTTTTTTTTTTAAATTAAAGAAAGTCCCCACATCCATTTCATTAGCTCTGTGCTGGATATGTGTATTATTTAATACAAATGGCCTGGTTTAGTTCCTTGTTTATATTTGTTGACACTGAAAGGCATTTGCCATCCACTGTCACAAATAACTAAATGAACCAAATCTGCTAATCTGATTTTGCTGTTCCTCATCATTTTCTTCTGCCTCTAATTTTAGTATGCTCAGCAAATTTGGAAATCTTATTTTCAGCACTGTCATTCAAATGGGATTTGACCCCTTCACCATTCAGCCTAGAGGCGAGGGTGCCATCAGCTGTGCCATAATGACATCGTGTGAGAATGTGCTACTTATCCAAGGATACATGTATTAAAGAAGTAGTGCAAGTACCCGATTGCAAAGATGGTATGCTACCTTATGCCTCAATCCATGTGAGACGGTCAGACTCAATAGACAGAATTTTGTTAAAAATAGGAATTTAAAACAACATTCACAGTTCCTGGTTTTATTATGATGTTAGGCCCTTCCCTTTGACCATCAACCCCGTATTTTAGTCAACAATACCTCATATTTGCCCTCAGCCAAGTGAATGGTGGTCGAATTTCTAACCTATCCCATTTTGTCCTTCCTTTTTAGTGCAGAGGGGAATTATTGAGTTCACTGGAACACCATTTATCCCCCTTCTTGCCAAGTTTGTCATAGACTCTTCAATTGAGACACTTGATATGTATGAACAATTCATGAACCAAAAAAACCTGCACGCTCTTTCCCCCTCCCCTTTTTCACCATCAACTGAAAAGTACTTTAATTCAATGGCATTTTGTTTGTTTGTTTTGCCAGAATTAGAGCTATAATTTACAAAAAAGACAAAAACTAAGCAAGCTGGCATGTGTCCCCTTCACTCAGTTAGAAATACTGTAGTAGAGACAATTTACAGAGACAAACTCAGAGCGGGTAGATGAAGAAGAAATGTATTAGATCACAGAGTCCAGGTCACATAGCAGACCCCTGACAGATGATGTATCTGCTTTTAGCTATGTTCTACATATACAAGTAGTGCATACCATTTTGTCCCTGCTCTCTGTCCTCCTCCCCCACCATACAGGGCTTTAACTACACAGTTATCTTTTAGGTAACAAATTCTTTGAAGCATGCATCATCCAAGAATTTTTTAAGTCACACACAGGACAATTTTATCATCCATAAAGAGACTCCAACCAGAGGAGAAACCGTCCAGAACCAACTTCTTACTAATAGGGAGGAAATGATTGAGAATGTGAGAGTAGTATGGAAGCTTGGTATCTGTAGCAATAAGCTACTTGAAATCTCTAAGGGATGGCTTCACATATAATGCAGTTACAAGAAAGTATTAAAGGACACCACCAACTTGAACTCTAGTCAATCCCAAAGAGATGTGGAAGTGGTTTCATCTAATGCATCTGTCTGAGTCCTCTGGCCAATTTCTGTGGCTTTACAATAATATTTTTATTACTTTAAAATGTTTCTCTCTCTCCCTGATTGCTTCTGAAAAATGCATAGCAAAACCATATGAAACTGACTGCCCACACAGGAGAAACAATGAAATCATGCAGTCACAAAGTAGCCCTCAACAGCAATACTATATTCAATTCAGAAAAATTGGATGGAATTTAGAGAAGGGCAGCAAATGTTCTTCTGACTTAGGAGGCAGCATAAAAGGGATAAATATTCATGACTTGCTTGAGTGATGACTAAGCGATGGAAGTAAATATCCAGAATTAAAAGGATTTATTTGAAAGGTCACAATGAAGCAGGGGTGAATAGGTGGACCGCAGGACAAATCCAGACCACCAATTTTGAATGGACCGTGAAATCTTTTCATTTACATTATTGCAGTTTGAAAAATGTTTCTCTGAAGACTGGACCTTGATCAAAAAATTTGGACTTTCACAAAAAATAATTCACTACTCCTGCAGTGGAGTGTAACTATAAGTCATTGTAAGGAAAAACAACAACAATTGTACCACTTAAATGGTACCTTCAATCCAATCTCAATGCAATAGTTAATTTAGCATCAGAACACCCATAGGAATTAGGTAAATATTTTTCCGTTGCACAGGTAGGGAAACAGGCACTGGGACTTACCAAGGTTGCACAGGGAGTATGTGGCAGAGGTATCGATAGAATCCTGATATCTTCTTTCTCAGTCTTATTCTTCTTCCCATCTTCCAAGATGGAAGGGATAAAGATCCTCCTTCATACAGTCCATCCACATGCTAGAATAAAATAAACAAACTTTTTAAGGAGGGGGGAATCAGTTCCAGCAGCACAAGTGTTAAAGGAACAAAGAGAAACAAAGTGAATCACACTGAAAAAGAGAACAATTTAAACAACTGAGATGCCTCAGATTATGAATTCTTCAGAGCAAGGAGAATGAGAGCATTTCCTATGCAATTGAAAAGGCATAGGCAACAGAGTTGGGGGTGGGGCTTGTATCCAGGCCATGGCCCAGATATTTTTTGGCAGGGTCAAACCTGAGTGGTGCTGCAACCCCACACACCAGGTAACAATACCACTCACTCAAACTTGGAGTGGGGGATGTAGGGTCTCGTGGGCCGAGGAGTCAAGCTGCAGGTGTTGGGGGGCACCTGAAAGAGGAAGAGGAGGATCAGGGGCAGGGGCAGAATCTATACCCCCTCCATCTTTAAATGGTGCTCTACAGCTCCTGTGTACAGCACCTGCTAAGTGGAGCCCTGAATCTGATTGTGTTTGTGACAAGGCTGGAGCAGGAATGGGGTTCAGCTTTAAACAAACAACCTGTTCAGGAGCTTGGGCTTTGTTTCATGGGCTCTGGTTTAGCAAAAACAATACAAACTTGGCAGACGTTCTGCAGCTGCATTCCTTCCCTGTAGCTTCCCACCCTGGCTTCTGGTCACTCCAAACCACTCTCTCTCCTCTGTCTGCTACTCTTTATAGTGCTAAACCTAAGTGAACGCAGCTGTACTGACTCCCAGCTGGGATTGCCTCCTTGAGCTGAATGAAATTAACCCATAAAACTCCCACTAGAGGGCACCAAAAAACCTGTATACCCCCATCACCAGGCTTTGGAGCACAACTGCAATACAAAACACTAGTAGTAACAGTCATAGCCAGTTGGGGAAAGAAAGGAAGAAAAAAGAAACAAAGGGAAAAAACTTAACAAAAGCCACACACGGTGTAAAGAACTAAGAAGAGTACCCACTACATTACAGTATTATTTAAAAAAAAAAAAAACTAAGTTATTAGCATAAAACCAAGCAAACCTAAAGCTAGGGATTTGGCAAGAGAAACCAAAAGAGGGGAAGTAATTTACTTTCACAGAAAGAGTTAATTATACAATTAGCTCCAGTTTGCAATATTTGTCTAACACCCATTTACCTTTTGTGAAACAGCTTTAATAATGATAAGTGCTTACGCCCATGTTTTCTCATTGTTTTGCTTACCATCCTCTCCTCCAACTACTATTATTACAATTGCAGTATCGGTAATAAAACAATTACCCAGTCTCAGTGCTGTTGAATGGGTTTGAAACTCAGAGTTGAAAATAATTAAGTTTGATATTAGAGAAAGGAAAAAATAAATAGAAATACTAATACATTTTATGCCAAGAAAGGACCATTATATTATCTAGGTTGACCTCCTGTCTATCACAGGCCATAGAATTTCATCCTGTTACTCCTATATTGTGTCCAATAACTTGTACAGAGAAAGGTTATTGTCTGTTTGGTTTGGTTTTACATAACCTACTTCAGGCCTGATTGCTGTACGGGGGAAATAATTTCCCTTTGCTCCATGCACATAAAAATGGTTCAACTAGTTTTGCTCACGCTTTCCAATAAATTTACTCGCACCAAACCTGGAAAACGTCATCCCAAAATGTATTTGTGACAGTTAAGAGCAACTGAAAGAAGTGGGTTATAATGGAAGTTAGAATCCATCCTTATAATAAGGCCTTATACCCACTGGTTGTATATTTTAAAAAAAAAAGAAAGAAACAGCAGCAGCCAAGAGTCTAATATGACAATGACATAAGGATTCTTGTAAATGATTTTACTGACAGTATCATTTATATTTCTTTGAACATATTGTTCATGGAGACCATAATTGGAGGAAAAAGACCCACAGCTTTAAGCTGTAACATTAATGAAAAGTTCACCAGTGCTGCACCTCAAAATGTAAATGAACAAATGCGCTTTGTGTGCCTTCCGACAAAGAGTATTTAAAGTTTCCTGCAGCCAAACACCTATGTACTGCAAAGAAGGAACTAAAAAATGAAAAGCTGCCGTTTGTGAAGTAGGAGAAAAAGTGAGACCAGGAAAGAGTAATATCCCTATGCATCTCTATAGGAGGATTAACTGTGCAGAGAGAAAAAAAAAACAGGCTGTGTTCCTAGCTTTCTCTGTGCTCCTTACTGCAAGATCAGTCTGCAGCATATCTTCTGCAAGTGATTAAAATGAGGACCAGTCAGGATGAGAGGGGAGAAAGGAAGGTGAGGAAAGGAAAATAGAACTGAGGGCTTCTCTGCACTGGCAATTTACAGCACTGCAACTTTCTCACTCAGGGCTGTGAAAAAACACCCCCCCCCTCCCCCGAGCGCAGCAAGTTGCAGCGCTGTAAAGTGCCAGTGTAGACAGTGCACCAGCGCCCTAAGAGGGGCAGGCAGAGGAGCTGGAAAGAATCAATAAGGACATGAGGAGAAAATAATAAAGGAACACAAAAGAGAACAAAGAAAAGAGAAGGGGGACTAAAGGTAAGAGAAGAGGATGGAAGGAAAGAAAGCGGAGCAACTTGAGTGATGAGTTGTCTTCTGGGACCTGTAGGCTGCCCTATGCAGCATGTTTTGGAACTCAATAGAAGAAATGCCTCCAAGGTGCCACAACATTGAGTGAAGGCAGCTACAGGGCAGCATCTGACCCCACCATTAGCCTGTCTCTGGACTCAACATGTACACTGAACTCCACACAGGAAGGGGTCATGGTTTGCCAGAGGAGGTAATGAGTTAGGGAACAGGCATTGCATGCAGCAAGCTCTCCCCTCAGGATGGCATAACTTATAATACAGTATGAGTTCAAGTCAACACTGCTCTTGGCAACAGTAACTCCCTCTCCTCCCCATTTTTGAGACACTGAAGAAGAACGGGCCCTCCATTGTCAGTGTGATACTGTGCTGTGGAGCTTCTGATGGTGAGATAGACAGTTCTACGTCCACAAGTGATGCCCCAGGATAGACATTCCTAAGCGGTGTGGTGCATTCAGCAGTACGTTGGTTCCACAATGAGGAAAAATAGCCTTTACAATAGTAAAAAACATGGGAACTTTTAGAATATGAAGGTGGGCATAGTAGAATAGGCAACCAGTTCCCAGGAGAACTGCCCTGGAGGTTGGGGTAGGAAGTAACACAAGCAGAGCTTTCTAGCCCCATCACAGATAAAAGATAGAGGAATGGGACACCCCAGAAGATAGATCAAGCTGGAAGGAACTAGGGACACAACAAAAGTAATCAGAGGTTAAATGAAGACAGCAAAAAGGAGGAGGAAGTGGAGGTCTGTTGTGGAGAACAAATTGTATGGGAGAGGAATTGAGGTGCTGTGGAATCATTTGGTGTTAAGTTCATGAGTAATGGAAGACATTGGGACTTCAATTTTATTTTACAGGTCTAGGGTGACTTATGGCCATCTTAACCCATTGTGATTCTCTTCCCTGAACACTTTGGGTGCTCCAGAACCAAGCCTCCCACATCAATTAACTACTCATGCATAAGAGCCTAAGGAGCTGTCACCGCAATTGAGCAAACCTAAGCACTGCATGTAGGGAAAACGAAATTGAAGTCATTTAAAAATCCACCATTTAATCTATCACCCATCTACAGCTCTGACATCAAGGCATTGCTTTTTCCCCCTGAGTTTTATGGCATTAACTCATGGCAACTAATTGCTCATTAATACACCAGCTCTGGATGTGTTTTGACAGCCGGAAAATTGTCCCTCTTTTTGAATTTAGGAAACAATCTATTTTCTAACACTTAAGTGTAAATACAGTGAGACAGGGTGGAGATGCTTCAGCCTGTCCCTGGCAAACAAGGAACTAAAGGTAAATTAGGCCCCATCCTGAAAACTTATGAACATGTCTAAATTTATGCACTCAAGTAGTCCCACTGATTGCAAAGAGCCAAGCATGAGTAAAATTGATTGAAGGCTACAAATTTTAATTGTAGGACTGCATACTAATTCTCAGATATCACCCTGTTTCTTTCTACACTGAATCAACATGTGAAATGTTCTTCAACTATTTTCATTGTTGTATTGGTCAATTTGATGTAAGTTCTCTGCCAGCAAACTTTCACTATTAACTGATTGTTGCACCAGATTACAATCAATAGCACTCTTTGTTAAGTATAGAGTTTTGCCCAGTGCTTAATTTGTGCCAGGGCTTGCCATGGCTGAGTCTCGGCACCTCTAAACATGGCAGTTCATAACCCTGGCACCTCTGGGCTCACCGTGTCAGCTATGAAAGTAAAAAAGTGCTTGAGTCCTGGCACCTTTTTCATTACAAATTAAGCACTGGGTTTGCCCTTGAATCCTTGACCAAACCATTTCCCCATTGTTAGGAAGAGTACAGTATGTCAGCTCTCTATCTGCCGCTATCCTACCTCAATAGTGACATGAATCCACCATTTCAGCAATGGTGAACATATAACAAGTTTTCCCAAGTCCAATAAACTACATACACAAATCAGAAGCAGAGGATCTATTAGTTCTGGACCAACTGTAAAAGATTTCCCTAGAAGCACTGTGTATAATCACTAGTAAATAGATGTCCCATGATTGGTACTCCAGACTTGCATGATTGTTGCTCCCTAATAACACTTGATGCATCTGTTGTACTTTCCATCCTGCAGGATGCCAAAGCATTTTATAAACCACATTCCTCATCACTGAAATGCAGCCACCCTTGAGGCAGGAAGGTGACTGTCAACTGGCTGATGCATAATAGGGCAAGGAAAGAACATTTTGGCCAAGGATGCAAGGGAATTCCCCACTCTTATAGAAAGTACTAGAGAATCTTTAATGTCTATATTGAAACACAGGACACTCAGTTTTAAAAGCGAAGAGACAAACATTACTCTGAACTCATTATCTGCCTTGTAAGGATGAAGGAAGAGTTGATTCAACCCTGCCTAATTAGGCTCCATGGTTCCAGGGAGTGTAGGTAGCCTAAATCAAACACACAGGCCACTCTGCTTTATTGTCCAGCTCCTGACACTAAGCTTCCCCTCCCTACCTCAGGGCTTGACCTTGCTGAAGCGCTTCTGCAGTGCTGAGTGTGCACAACTCAAAGTTGAATCAATGGGAGAGCCAAAGAGCTTTCAGGATTGGATGCTGCATGATGACCCATTTTCAGGGTCTCTGAGGGAAGCATTTCTAATGACTAATAAGAGTCACACCAAAGCGACCAGAAGCACCAGCAGACTGAACAGCCACTACTCCTTGCATCCTTTCTCAGGGCTCCTCACTAAGGGTCCTGAGCATCTTCAGCTTGCAGTGGACTTCAGTGAATATATGAATACTTAAATGTGCCTGCAATAAAGTCATCTGGCTGACTCCTGATGTTCTAGAAGATAGAAGGGAGTTAGTTTTTAAAATATAAATTTGTTCACAGCCAGCCCGCTGTAAAAGCTTATGAAAAGGGACAGTGAAATGGGTCCTTTATCAAATGTGAGTGAATCGCACCAATTCCTATACAACCAATTGTCAGAAAGCTTTTTATTAGAGAATGTGGGGTGCAGGAAGGGTGGATTCTGATGACTAATTCTAATCTTTTCCAAGAAGTTACTACTTCACCCTTACTTATGCAGAGCATATCACATGCAATGAGTATTGTTCTGCAGTAATGACTTTACGCAATCAAAGCATCTAAGCAACAGCTTGACAATTTCATTTGACTTAGTCACAGTGAAGGAGGTGTTGGTATTGTGCCGTCATCATTGAGGTTTCCCTGAATGGGGTGTTTAGCTCTCCATTTGGAAACTCACTCTGTACGTGGTATTGTATAATTGCGGCTGCTAAATAATGCGAGTTTTGAAAAAGAATAGAATTGAATGAGAACAGAAAGAAATGGATGTTGCGGCCAGCCTTGTGTTTGTGTAAACGGTTTACTGGAAAAAGATCTGGATTAATGAGATCCCTATCATCTGAGAGAACAGTGAAACATTAAGCAGAGACTTATGTTTCTCTTAGATTTGTTTGGAAACA